CAAAAGATCATGATTCTAGATAAGACCAATTTCGGCTAAAATGCAAATGCTTAGTGCCTCCAACTACTGCATAACTAATAAGAGTCATTTTCACACGAGCTAAATTTGAATGCAAACTTGAATGGCCCACCATTAAAAACGGATATTTTGCTTTTGGCCCGGGCTATATGCGGGTGGCAGAGCTTAAATTGCAAAAGGGATCTGAAAATTTGTTTGATGAATAAGTCAAACACAGTAGAATCTCCTTAAAACGAAATAATGGTTGCAACGAATTTGTTCTTTTTTTTAAATCCCTGTCGAATAGCAACAATGTTATTTAAATTTCATTCAAACTAATTTTTGTTCGCAACGAATCATTTTTTCAAGGTCATAAACACTTCGTTGTAACGAGATTTACGGTGCAGCAGTTGGAAACTGAAGATAGTTTACATACATAATTACAACATAAGTTTATACAAAAAAGGATGGCAGTAGAGAACAGACCTCAGCGGTGAACGTCTTGATGGGTGGGCAACTCTTCGCTCCACAGTTCAACGCGAAGTGGATCCGCGGATCGAATTGGGACAAAGAAAACTTCCGTCTCACATCATTCTGTCCAAACGGAACACTCAACATTCCGACTCCTTTCCGGTTCCCGCGCAAAATCCCATGTTCAATGTCTTCCAAGTTCAACACACTCCCATTGACCAAATAACTCGACGTTCGAAAGAACTTGAAAATAACGGGAAACCGAAAAATGCACAGGTTATTCATACAGTACAATGAACACGCGTCTACTACAGAAGATTAGTTTTCCTAATAACCGCATACCGTACAAACAACCCTCGCATAGAGTCAAAATGACACATTTTTAAGCCTACGATTATTTGCTTGCAATTTTCTCATCCGGGAAAACTTCACTGCCTTACAGAGCCTTACTCGTACTGCTTTCGATTTAGTATCCCTTACCGTACAATTGTATTCAGTGACCTTCGAAGGAATCTGACTAGAAACCGCACCAATAATTAACAGGATACCCATTGACGTAGAAGGACAGTGAATGACGAGTTCATTTTAAATTGATTCTTCATAAATTTTGCCTTTTTCATGATTGGATCGCATTAATTCGCACCGTTTACACTCGCACTGCATATAAAAAATCCTCCCACTCAACGAATTCAACAGAATTTTTTCCACAAAACATCGATCCTCGGGAGAACATTCATGATTAAACATACCTTCCAACGCTGGAAATCGTTGCTCGGTGGCCCCTTGATGGCTGTGGCGTGGATCACCAAAGCGTTGTACACATTGATGAAGAAAGCTTTACGCTCTTGTTCACTTAACTGAGACAAGTCCAACGCTCGAAGTTTCTTTATCAAGTCCTTGTACCGTGAAAATTCTTCAGACGCTATCAGTGACTTGTAATCCACAAACTGAAATCACGGAAAGATTTAACTACCTCTCAGAAAAAAATGAACAAAACGTATGCCGTACCTTCCCGTCAGGTGACAAATGAAGAGAATAAAGCTCCAGAATCTGATTTCGTATTTCTTCGCTGAGTTCATTAGGAGACACGCTCGAACAGGGAGAGGAATATCCTCCGTTGAGAACGTTGTCTGTTACATCCTCCACTAGCTGGTATAGTGCATTTTCGGTGGCATCGAATTTCTCTTCGCTCTCGGCACTGCTGGCGTTGATTCTAACAACTTGGCCTTGTCGCAACAAACTGTCAGCGATCGCCATTGCACGTTCTTCATTCGCTACATAAAAAAGCAAGATAACAAACCCAATTGGTGAGAATAAGTTAACTCCGCTCGTTACAACGTTTTCAGATGGTGTGTTCGAAATTGGCATCCGAATACCGGATATACGACGAAAATACAGCATCTGAGAAACTGAAAAAAGCTCAACGAATTGCTGCGCATCAGGAAAAGTCGTATAAAAAAAGAGCAACAAACATACGATGATAATTTTAATTCACAGAAAGTTGGTTTCGGAACGTTTTGGGTACAAAAAGAACCTGATACACTTGATATCGCATAAAGTCGACGTCAGAAGAATCCTTCCAGCAGGAGTCGCCAGCTGGGCTAACGGAATAATCCATTTCATTTTAAATCAATTTCCAATAAACCGTGATTTGACCAGCGCCAGGAAAATATATGCATGCATCAATCTTTGAACTCAAACATTCAGAAGGCGGTGCTGGTCGCCAGTGTACTTGTAATGTCGAGTAAAGAACAACCGTGATTTTCGATTAATCGAAAGAGTGTTTCGTCGTACATTGCTTGGATAGAATCAGATCGCTATTGAAGTAGAATAATTATACGGACTATTAACTTTAATGCCTTTGCCCAAGAGCAAACTACATTTTAAACCGATATTAATTTTTCTTATAAAGAATTACCTGACCTCGCACATTACCAACATTCCTGAAAATTTAGCAGTTTCTCAGTCGGGATAATTGAATCAGAGGAAACTGAAGGCAATAATATTACTGCAGTAAATTTGAAGCTTGCTTTGAACATCGATAATTCGAACTTCCCAAGACGAATACCTTCCTAGGTCGATTTTTTGCAAGTCCTTGCCTGAATCTCTTCGAAAAAATGCTTTAAAAACCTCCCTTTGAATTTCGAAGGCTATCAAACCTCCATGAATCGAATTTTCCAGAAACTTTCGGCTACAGCATTGATTTATTGACGAAGGAAAGAGAAAACCAATGATAATGGAACTCGATGTTTTCTGAAAGGAAGGGAAAGCTAAAATTCGGCAAATTAACACCATTTCTATTCCAGCATCCTGTCAACGGAATTTCATTGTTTTACGCTCAAGCAATTTGATCCTTCCGGCTTTATTCTCACACTTTTTTTTTTAAATCTTGACGTACTACCCGGTAGTTCAAGCAAGCTATCAAGTGAACGAACAATTTTGTCTATTACGCAGTGGAAGATAATGATCTTTCGACATTTTCGGAGAAATCTGTCACCTGTTACCAAGTAGTTCCGCAAATTCGTCACAATCGTGTGACCGGAAAAATATTTCTTTCTTTCCTTCTTTTCAGCAGGATCTGAAGATTTCTTTTCTGAATTTTCCGCTTTTTTCGAGGGTTCAGACGACACGCGCCTCTGTACGGTCTGCGAAGGACCATTCCTTGTTGGAACCACCCTTTGAATTGACGGTAAACGCGCTTTTCCTCGGCGTGCAGCTAAAATAAAAAAACCAAGAAAATCGTAAAATACCTTCAAATTTCAGTATCTCAGTCAGCATGTCCACTCCCGAGGCGCAACGAACTTTGAATAAAGCAAACCAACGGGGGCGAATTTCCTTGAAAATACCCGAGCGACTCAACTTGCGTAATGCGATGTGACTCGGATCAATGGAACAGATCGCTTCAAGATCAGCGTCATCTCCAGCATCTACGGTACGAAGCGATCACAGAATAAACACTATTGTACTTCAGTGGCATAAGAAAAAGCATTATCAAAGCTTTCGCAGCACGAAACTTGCGGATTAGGCATTAAAAATACGAAATGAGCGAACAATCGTGGCGATTCAGCAAGTAAATTGCAATATGGCTGCTCAGCGGATGCGAAATAAAACCTTTTCTAACGACGTTGTCTTCTTCCTCTTTTGTCGGAAGCAATGGAAGATATTTAGCCGGAACATCCTCTTCTAAAGCTTTCCTGGCTTCTCTTAATTTCCTTTCATCTTTGACCTGTTCGGAATAAGCGAGAAATCGTTAGCATATTTAAGTTCAACGTCAGCCGATCCACAATTCAACAACTTAATAGCGTCCTTAAAAAAAAAATGCTGCAACGCACGCCAATTGTCCTTGTTGACCATGATTAAATCGAAATTTTCCCATCCCTTTCAGGTTATTTAAGTAATTTTACAATTTCCTACGCTATAACAGAAAAAAGAATGTGCCCCAAAGATGCTAACTACTTACAGTATTTTTATTTTCCAATATACAGGGTGAACCAATACCGAAGAAATAGCACACCACGCACCCTCAAGCTTTCCTCCAACTTTTCCAGCGAAATTGGCCAATTTTTTCTTCTTTCCTCAACCTCAACCACAGTAAGCTACATTTTTTTAAAATCGTTGTTCGGGACAATCTTCACAAAATGTGAAGACCCCTGATTGAAACTCTTGAAAACTCTTATTTTCTGCATGTGCTCGAAGAAATAGGAACAAATTGTTTACTTCACACGCTTCTGGATTTTCTCAATCATTGAAGAGAACGAAATCACGTGGAAAGAAAATGAGCACTTCAGCTCTCCAGTCAAATTTTGAACGCTTAATTTTAGGAAATATTTATCATGTGCAGATTATAGGGAAGAGAGAAGGGCGAAAAAAATCCATGAAGCTGCTTTTCATGACTGATTCACATGAGTTCAGAGAACTCGTCGCGGTTGAAACGAGTCTGGCTAAACTGCAGAAACTTTCACTCACAAGTTCTTCGAGCTTTTCGATTCCACCAATGTGCACAGCATTGAAGTAAACTTGAGGAATCCGAGTTACGCCAACGTCTTTTCGTAGCCATTGCACGATTCTAGGGAACTTCTCCACCGAAACGTCCACGAAATCAACATTCAAGCCTTGAAGGATCGTCTTCGCCTTGCGACAATGAGGACAGCCGGGAACGGTGTAAACCACTGCTTTTCCTTTCATATTACGTAGAGTAAATATGTAAAAAGAAATCACGAATTTCGAAGTCTATGCAAGAACGAAACAGTAAGTGAACACATGTCCATTAACGAAAAAACGGCGAACGTCATCGTATCATTTTTTAAACGGCCCTAAAAATAAAATATGGAATGCCTTTAGCGTAATCAATTTGTTCATCTCTTTGATTTCAAGACTACCTTGAAATGTAAGAAAATAATCGAGAGAGGAAAATCGGCGACCAAGCTTTTAATCCCACACAGTTCATGAAAAAGTCAAGCCCTCGAACTCAATTTAGAAAAAAATCAGATGGGCAGTTATGCGGAACACGAGGCGACACGAGGGAAATCTCTTCACTTCTTCCCAGATTTTTTGATTCCACCACCACCCAGGGGTCCTTTGGCAGCTTTCTCCTTCATTTCAGCGATCTTTTTCTGCTCTTCCTTCTGCTTTTGCTTCATGGCGAGGTCGTCGTCGTCCATATCCCGCGAGTCCTTTTTCGGAGCCTTCAACGGTTTTTTCTTGCCACCATCGCGACCAGACATTGCTACAATCTTAAATGTAGAGCACCTTCGATTTAAAACCTGGAGGCAACAACGAACAAATTGGCACTGGACAACTCAAGTTCGAACGGGTACGGAATTGAAAAATCAAGAGCAACTTTCGATTCTCAAAAAAATCCAACCGATTTAAATCTCGCAGCCAAGCTTTCACAAAATTCGTCCATCGAGCAGCACTCTTCACAAAAAATCCCGATATTTCTCGAATAATCGCCACATTTTTCCTAAAAAAAAGGTGATACTTAACAGTGTAACAGTAAAACGTAACTCCGCTCTTGAAAATTATAAGAAGCTACAGCACTAAGATATTTTCTCGCAGATGAGCAAACGTCGCCACGATAATTTTCCTAAAATTTAAATCACTCCCACTTTTTCATCACGGCAAAATATAAAAAAACCTTTGTCGCTTAATATTCCACGGAAAATCTGACTCGTCAACCTGGATTTCCCGCGGGCTATCGAAAAAAATCAGTTAAAAAAAAGAGTATCTTCAACCTACAATTTTTGGTATAGTACAGTACTTTCGTAATTCTTCGAACACAATTCGAAAATCCCAAACTCGACCAGAAAATACGGTAAGGAATTTCGTAACAAATTCCAGAGGAACAACGATCCAGCATGTGACTAAGACAGATGATGGAATGCGCTTGAATGAACTCAGCATGAAGACCCGAGAAAAGCATTCGCAGAACTCTCATTCGCAACGAAACAAAGCATCGAATGAAATTTCGTGGTAAATTTTCTTTTCAGCGACCATGTTCACGCACTGAGAACAACATTTACACTTTCTCTTCGTTCTTCGATATGTCCCGAGTGTACGGAAGCATTTTCAAACTGATCGAAAACATTTTTTTCATGGATATTCATTATTTGAAGACTCAACTGAGTTTTCGTAGCCGCAACGATCACTTGAAATAAAATGAAGAATTGACGCAATTAAGCCCAGTACTCACAGGCGCACCTTTCGTCCAGGCAAACGCTAACAGAGCAGAGACGTTTATACCATTACACCGAACTCCAGAAAAAAAAAACCCAGTCAATTTCGAGACTCCGAAGAAGCATCCAACGAAAACGTCTGTGTCGCGACTCACGGGAAATCACTGAGTATTTTCATCGTCGGCCGGAAGGAATGAAGCGGAGTCATTGGGCAACGAAGGAACACTGGCGGCTGTTCGCAACGAAGCCGACGCACCCGGGGACGAAATTCTGGGGCGACGCGCAGAGGAGCGTTGGGATTTGCGGGATGATCTGCGACGTTGGGTTCTTCTGGGACAATGACCAACGGGTTTCGCACCTTCGACGCCTCTGAACACAATCGACTGAATTTACCTAACGCGAGTTGATCGAAATATCCAAGCCACATTTTCTACACAATGATCTCAACACGCTTCGTTTTGTCACATCTGGTTGCTTTGTACGAAATACGAGAGTTCGCGTCTTTTCAGAACAGCTCATCCATGCCCACAAGCCCGAAGTGACACGTGCCATAAATCCGGTCGTATATTAATGGCGTTGATTGAAATGCAACCATTCCATAATTGTGCACACGACTTCCTTCATGGATTCTTCGATTCACGTTACACACTCACGAACTTGCATTCGACTCCCAAATGAATAGTTAATGATCGATGGAAGAAACTAAAATTACGGGATTTGGCTGCGTGTAAGCAACGTGTTAATCTGCTTTGATTATAAGCGATCCCTATCATTTCATTCGAAGGAGGAACTCGTTTCTGTCATTCCTTCGATAAATGAAAATGAATCACAAATCATATGAGGATCTAATCAATGGAAAAATATTTCACGTCGTTAGAATTACTTCTTGTCCACGTGCCCAGAACAGTGTTCGCAATCATCGTCCTCTGACTCTGAAGAACTCTCCCCGAAGATCTTCGGCTTTCTGTAAACACAGCAACCTGGAAGAAAAAACGATGAAGATGAAGTCTTCAGTTTGAATACGAAGGTCTTCAGGTTGAAACACATGCTTAGAAGCTAGAACATCAACGATCTCATTCGACAATACTCGAACGGTTCGAAACGGGAAATTAGAGATTCAATAGGAAGGATAAGATAAATTGTACAGTACAAACATTTAGATTTTTTCTTGTCCATGTGTTCGTTGTCCACGGTTTCCGTCGTCCAGCACACCTTCTTCCTCGTCTTCGGCTTGTGCAACCTCAACCGTAGAACCGGACTTTGCTGCATAATGATGCCCAAAAAAAAAGAGAAAAGAACCGAAAAAGCCATCAGGGTAACAAATAGCATGATACACGAAGCGTGTAGAACTTCGTTTACTACTTGAGTAAAAAATATGAGTACAGTACACGAAAAATCAACTCGTAAATGGTTTCAAGAAGCCACCGCTTTCTGGGAAAGTCAGAATCGTCCGCACTTCGAATCTTGCCGGACAAAAATGGTGAATACTTTCGTAAAGTAAAAAAATGTTTACTAAAGCAAAAATCATCCCCAAACCACAATATATCTACCGACTAAATCAATATCACTAGTGTGCAAACAGTAAAAACCCGGAAATAGACGGAGCTTGAAATTACTGAAGCGAAAAAAAGGGATTGTCCAAGAAATGAAGAAAAGAGGGACATTTCATCATCTGCATGAAAAAATTATTCACCGAAGGCAACTGTACTGATACTTCGACGACTGAGCTCTACAATTAAATCGATACCCGAATGAAGAATTCTTGACGGACAAATCTCAACAACTAAAAAATGCCTTTGAGCCAAGTAGTGCAAAAACTATTTCAAATATTTTTGATGAAATCTAACGTTGAACCTCGTTAACTCAAGCATCCCCCAGTTGAATACCTCCATACATCAAATTCTTTAAGCCCCTCTCTGAATTTCGACACGAACAACGCATTAAAAAACTCCCTAAATTAGAGGCATTTCCCTCAAACCTCCAAAATTCGAAGTTTTTGGGGCCTTTTGGCTAATACAGTACTCCACTAACACGGGAAATATAAAAGCAATAAACAAGTCACTTGATGCGTTTTGAAAGGAAGTGAAAGACTAATTGGGCACATTACCTCCAACTTCAGCATCCTGTCAACTCATTTCGGAAACAATTCAAGGGCCCATAATATCACCGATTGACTATGTCCTGTACTTCTTTCTTTACCCAAACAAAATGTTTGTTTTCTTAACTGGAAACATACTCAACTCAACGTTTTTCTGGTCTTTTGAAGTTCGACTTGAAGCGGTTCAAGCCGCTCAACTGTATATTTTCGGTTGCATCATAGACGAAAAAACGATCGTAAAATGGGACGCTTTTTTCAGGATTACCATCAAGACTGATGCATCTCAAAAATGCGAAGTTTTTCCTTCAGTGAACATTCAACAAGGCATGCACCGAACCCATCGAAACTCAAATACGTGACCAGATTCAATTTTCAAAGCGGCATGATCACAGCGAAAATAGAAACAGCAAGCCCAAGCACCCTTCCCTACTATTTCAAGCACAGAAGCAGCTGACGAAAAATGGCACAATAAACCTTCGCTAAATGTCCCCCGCAGCACGAAATCCCGCGATTTCTTCTATAGAGTAACCCAAAGAGCTCAGGACGGAATCTGTGTGTTGGCCGAGCGTCGGAGGTGCAGACCGAACGTCACAAACTGCCTCCGAGTACCGCACAGCTGGTCCCACAAACTTAACAGTGCCCGCAATCGGATGCTCAACGCTTCGTTCCATTCCCAAATGCACCACTTGCGGGTCCGCAAATACTCGGTCCATCGAGTTGACAGGACCGTAAGGCAACCCGGACCCATCAAACAAACTCAACCATTCGTCCAAGGTTTTTTCTGCGAACACCTCGCAGAGGACTTGCATGAGCTCGTCGCGGTTGCGGACTCGGTCAGCGTTTGTAATAAAGCGAGGATCCGTGCCGAGGTCGGGTTGGAGGATGACGGACGAAAACTTCTTGAAATGGTGATCGCTGCCGGCGCCTACAGTGAGCCACATGCCGTCGCGGCACTTGAAGCTCTGGTAAGGGACGACACTTTCGTGCGCCGTGCCGCGGCGTTCGGAAATCACGCCGGCGTTCAAGTAACTCGAGGCCAGGTTGGCCATACAACTGACTTGCGTCGCCAACAAATTCGCGCCTACCTTTAAAAAGGGGTTCAGAGAGAAAGAGAGTCTGACCTTAGCATTATAATTCTGGAATCGAAGAGTTCACATTGAAGCTGTTCTGCAAAAAGCTCTTGACATACATATTTTGTCAATGCCATGAATGAAAAAGGTTTCTCGACAGTACGAATATTCTTCAAAAAGTTTCCAACTTATATAGATTACTCTTCGGGCTGCATTAACCATGCAGCACAAAAAACTCACAAAATGGGAGTGACTGGGAAGTTCACCTATGATCAATCGTCATTATTCGTTTATATATCTTTTCTTTCGTTCCTAACCAACTTCGCCGTTCAAGGAATTTAATCAAGGAAAAGTCATTAATTTTTTCACAGTCAGCGTCACAAAATGTTTGAAGCTTAATGTTGGAACTAAAATAAGATTTCAGCAGTTTATGGACGGTTTAAAGCTTTAAAGAATTCATATAAATCTGGTAGAAGTTGAAGAAACTACAGAGCTGAAAAAAATGCATGTGCTGAAAATAAATTGACGAATACCACAGGAAAAGTCAAGGTTTGAATGAACTGTTCTCAAATCAGAATTATTTGTATCAAAAAAGACAAAACCCTGTATTAATTGCATTCCATGTGCCTATACTCTTCAATGAAAACAATTCATTTAACACACAAGGAAAATCGAGTTTTCATGAAAACTACAGAAACTGATACAGAAGAAAACTATTTGTGGCACAAAATTGGTCCTTCCCTTAAAAATATTTTTAAGGAAAGCATGGCCAGGTGAAATTTATGGCAATAAATCGTTTGTTGACCATAAATAAGCAGGTAAAATTTTAGGCTTATTGTCTCTCAGCGTTTCACTTCACAGCAGCTCTTACCAACTGTCCCTTTCCGGTTTTAGCCCGGTGGAGCAATGCCGCCATGATTGCACCGTGAGCATACAAGCCAGTCGACAAATCCGTCATGGCCACACCGGCTTTACATGGTTCTCCATCCTTCGGCCCTGTCACACCCATGAGCCCACCGATGGATGCGGCCATGACATCATAACCCGCTCGTTGCCCATATGGCCCATCTGTGCCGAACCCGGAGATGGAGCAATAAATCAACCCATCATTCAACTTGCTCAGAGCGTCGTAATCCAGGGAGTATTTCGCCAACTTGCGAGGCATGAAGTTCTCCACAAACACGTCAGCCTTGGACACGAGGCGACGGACGATTTCCTGGCCCTTCGTGGACGTCAGATTGACAGTGATGCTTTCTTTGTTTCGGTTGATGGCTAAGTAGTAGCAGGATTCGCCACCACGCACAAACGGCGGGCCCCAGCGGCGAACTTCGTCTCCACCTTTCGGATGCTCGACTTTGATCACACGTGCACCCAAGTCACTCAACAACATGGTACAAAATGGACCGGCGAGTATACGAGTAGCGTCCACGATTGTCACCCCATCGAGAGGTCCACTTCGCGTCGACGTCGCGAAATGGCGCCGAATGTTCAGCAAGCCTCGAATCATCGCGGGATTTCGTGCAAACCTTCTAAAATTTCTCAGCGACTCACTCGAATACCCCACAAGGATAATTTTGCGGTTTCTCAAAGAAAAATCCCAAATTAAGACAGGCAAAGTTTCAAATTTACCCATCAAAGATTGTGACTGGTTCCTGGGACATAGGGTGGAATCAAGGACAACAGTTCTTCCAAATTCATCTTAACATCCGCTCTCTCAAAATTTTTTCATGGGTTAGGAAAGATGTAAAAAAGGTCAGAAGATGAAAAAATGAACTCAGCAAAAATTGTGTTAAAAGGGGTTTGTATGCTTGAGAAACCCTACTGACAAATCTGAGAAACCCTACTGACAAAGCAATCCTCACAAATCTGCTCAGGAATTGCTTAAAAAAAACCTTGCTAGTGTTTACCTGTTTATCAGAGTAAATGTTCGTTAATAACATTTAAATTTCTTTTTGAAGATCACAGTTTCTTATGCACTGATAAACATTTGAAAAAGCCACAAAAGGAAGATGCTGCATATATCAAGGATTAATTGAAGAAAATCTTTCCATCAGTCAAAAATTTTGGAAATCTCATTGTAAAAAATTATTTGTTAAAACAAACGTTTTCAGAAGTCCCCTCGAGTTTGTTGCAACGAGATTTTTCTGCATACGACATACACCAAGACACGTTTTTCTCCTTGTCTTCATCGCAGATTCAGCATTAAAAAAATTTGGGGATATTCAAAACGGATACGGAAACATTTAAGTTTTTCGGTTTTAATGACAGTTCGCATTTGACTCAGCGAAATTTTCAACACACCTTCGCAACAGAAAACTGGATTTTCCAGAAATGAAAGGGAACATAAACCAATGAACAATAGCAATAAGACATCAAAGGAAGGCTTACACGAGTAGATTCTGCTTCTTCAGTTCTCAAAGTGATGGTTTCACTGCCTTGAACAGCCTCTGAGGTTTTATCATCACTCATGATCGCACAGAATTTCCACACTGGTACAGTGGAAAATGCTTAATTTTCTTGAAGAATTTTGATAAATATTACGTCAAATCTTCTCGCACTTCACCACATCTCTGAAAAGACAAGAGATCACGGTTAATCAAAACTTTCTTTCTTGGAAATGCATCACATACAGAAATGTCTTCCGGAAAAAATCTCTTTTCCAAAAATAAATATTATTTCAGGCTCCCAATACAAACTGACCGGCTTCAAAACTTTGCCGTCAGAGTGCTGCACCGTTTCAATGGTTTCCAAGTTTATTATAAACTTTGGCTCCGTATCGCTTGACAAAAGCGTCAACGTCGAATTTTCGTTGAGATGCGAAGTAAGTCATACATCTAACGCTTCCTGTCACCGGTCGCTCACCAAATGGTCTATCGTGAACACCGCAAATAGCCCACATCACGCCTGCAAATAGTAAACGAAAAGTTCTTGAAAGTAGCTCTAGAATTGAGATCGCAGAAAAATGTTCACCTCCGAATCCATTAGGATCTCGTCCGTCGAGGTTGTAGCGGTCATTGAGATATAAGGCGATTCGAACTGCATCCTCCGGACTGGGAGTCCATTCCTGGATTTTCTTTGCCCAATACATTCGAAGAAACCCGTGCATTTTACCCTCTACAACCATTTGAATTTGAGCTGCGTTCCAAAGATCGTCATGCGTTTTTGCCGCTTCGAATTCCTCCAACGTGTACAGATATTGCCGTTTATCTACGCTGTAAAATCAATTTTGTACGTTCACTCAAATTGATGAACAATTTTGGGCGTAAAAAATAATCAAACCATATGGAATCTCACAAACCTGTGCTTCAAAAGAGATTCTTGAGCCCATCCCGGAGCACCAGAAAAATTATCGTAATTCTTGTTGTAAAAACAGAAGTTTTCCGCCAACTCTCTCCAAACCAGGGCTTCATTTATGAAGCTCGCGTAGGACTTCGGATAAATATTCTCGTATTTCTTCACCTGAAGAATCGCTCTTTGCGGTGCAATTTGGCCTAGATGAAAAGGGGAAACACCAACGCTCATATCAAACGCAAAAAAAGCATCACTACAAAACAGATTCTTGGCTAGACTCGAATGAAGTTCTAGAAATTATTCAGAATGCACATCAGAAATAAACGAAAACGACTCACCGAAATGAAACCAGGGTGAAAGATTACTTTGACAGCACACGTTCGGTTCATTGCGCTTTTCTCCATAGATCGAGAGGTGCTTTTCGATGAAATTTTCAAGAGTTTTCAACCCACTTCGGGTTCCTGGTTTTGCCCATTCAACACTATCAATACTTCTGTCCACTTCCAGCGCAGCCTCTAGTTTCTCCCACTCGACATCCTAAGAGGTCACTCGCATGTTATTTTTCGAATAAATTTGATGCGCACTAAGCTCAAAGCGAAGAAAAGTTCAACTCACTTTCGGAAAGGGACCAATATTAAACGGATGCTTGATGGCTGGAGGAAACTGGGTGAGGAACTCGTCCAGTTTTGGCTCCAACTTCGCTCTGATTTTGAAGGCAGCAGGTTCCATTCCGTTTGACGTGACCCACGCAGGGACAACGTTATGGGCATCGACTCGAATCAAGTCAACTTCGTCGGGCAACGAGCTTTTCACATTTTCCACCCACGACATCGGCACGTGAAGCGGGGAGAAATCCGTGACGACTGTCCCAAGTTGATGTTCTTCCACGAACTCAATTAATGATGACTTCGCTTCGCCCAGTAAAACGTGAAAAGGGATTTTTAAACTTCGACATTCTTCTTCCACTTCCCTCAAGCCTGCAGAAATTCACGTCGTCCAACCGGACGACAGATTACTGAGTAAGTATCATTTCATCGACACATTTAAACCTCTGATTTTCAATTTTTACCAATCGACTCACAATACGGCCTGATTTCTGTATATCGAAAACCAGGCTTTAGCAAAATCGCGAGGGGAAATCTGAATGCAACAAAAGTCGCTGCGAAAATATAGAATCAAGTTTTCTAAACATCGATCACTAAATTAAACGGTTTTAAGGAGCGGCTTCTCTAAATTTTGCGAATTGATTCGTTAAAAAATATTCATCACAAAGAGCAACAAATTTATAATCTTTATTGCTGCCTGAAAGACTCGGAACATTTTTGGGTGGTTCAGAGAAAGGGAACGAAAACAAAATACAGTAATTCGACTACTGGTGCATACAGAGAAGTTTTGCGCGGGAATTTCAATGAACTATTTTTGAAATATTGACTCCCTAATTCTCCGAAATTGCAACAGTGAGAACAGAACTCACACCTCCCAACATGAATCGGAAATGACGTATGGTGGCATCCATGAACTTCGTCACCAGGCAGAAGCAAACATGCAGTTGGCTTTTCTGAGCCAACGCCAATCGTTGAGCATATAAAAAAGCCCAGTTGTCTATAAAGAATTAAACATTTTTGATTATTGTACTTGAAACTTGAATATTCTCAACCATAAAAATGTCTTTTACCCTGGACGCGTTGATCGCGGGACATCCAGTAAACAACGCCATTCCTGACAGACGAGCTTCTCTGGGACCTTTTCACGATTTGTATTCGCTTCATGTTGAAAGAAAATTCACTAGCATCTCTCGCTGCCTGCAATAAAAGGATAGAAAACAGTTGATAAGATTTGGAATGCACAAGAACAATTACGCGAGCTTCTTGACGCTTTTGACGTGCTGTAATGCGGCCAACTTCTTACAAACAATATGTTACAAGAAACGAAACGTATTTCCTCACTGTTCAAAAAAAAAAATTTCTTCATAACCATGGATTCGATCACGTGAAACTTTCTTGCACTCTTGAATAATTAAAGAACACATGAGAAATTGAGAACACACTGGCACCTCGGGTCACCGGTCTAATCCTCAGTAGATAAACCTGATTTTTTTCATAGGGAAGTCCATTAATAAAAATGCTAATTGAAAAGTTAAGCAAATCATTGCAGTTTAAAAAGGTTGACTGCTTATAGGCTTCCACCCCCTCCAAAAAAAGGTTTAATGAAATGGTACTGTACTGCGAAATGGTGTAACTTAATCCGTTACAGACTCCTTGAAAACCTCCTTCATATAATATAATAACGTAAAATATCGAAGAACAACAATACTGTATTGTGATAGAACGCTGCGATATCAGACAATGAACAAAAATCCAGAAAAAGAGATCATGTTTGTCAAGCTTTTGATGAACATCCCCTTAGAGTGCTGTCCATTTTTCGAAGCCGGACCTGCTTCTCGAAGCGATCGCAGTTCGAGATCAATGCGCGAAAAGTACATTATGCGAGGCAATTATTACGCAGTGTTTCACTCTTCTAAAACTCAATTTCCATTTTCCTCCTATTGAGAAACAAATTGAACCTCTCCGATCTCCCTGACCTCTCACAGCGTTCAACAGTTGAGCAGAAACCGGAGAATATTCGATAAATGGATGCATGAATAGATATAATACCTTCGTTCGCTCGGCTTCAAATAGTTGTGAAAGAGACAAGGCTTTTGCAGCCGGAGAAGTAGATTCAGTCTTCGCTGAAACGTACGTGGGTCGAAACCCTCGGATGTTACCGCGACCACCAAAAGCCATCTAAATGCTGCACCGGGAAATCGAACGTCACAAACTCTTGGTCTCAGAAATGTCTGCGAAAAGAATCTCATGAATGCGATTCGAATGCACGAATATGAGAATAATAGACAAAAGAAACTCGTCAAGAAATAACATTGAGCATTTTATTACTCTTGCGACAACCGATTTCCCCATTTCTCTTGAGATTCTTCCGAAAAATCTTCTCTTTCACAACACAGATATAGAATAATGGCGAGATCTCGGAGCCATATGAAGATATAAAATAACCTTCACAGGGTTTCTGGAAAACATGCGAGAGAACTGACAGGTAATAGCTCAAAGTCTCTTTCGAGCAATTGTGAAGGTGTTCTTTTTCGGATTTCATACTTTCCAGGAAAACCGTAAGGACCCGTAAATTTACTCGAAACCTTAACAAATTCCGTGTGATTATCCATTTGATCGATTAGCTGTTCCCCGTTCGACGTTCTTTATGGCCCTTAAACTTGGGTCCATTTTGGCGCCCAAGGCCAGCCAACGAGGTATTTACCCGATTCTTTACACGCGGTCGAGCAGGAATGCTTCCGACGTGTCCCCGGTGGCTGTAGATAAGACTGGTGATAGGGAGTGGGTCGGTTATGGACAGAACGGATCCAAACACTATTTGGACAATTATGTCCATCCTTTCCCAGCGGTTCGGTAAGATATCCACGTTTTTAGCTTTAGTTAATTTCTTTCATCAAGCCTGCATGACTACCTCTGCTCCCTCACAAACATCAAGTCCTCTTTTGATAGTTTTGAAACACCCACTCATAATATTACGACATCAGAGGCATCTGAAAGATTTTCAACCCGCACTGCATTGCAAGGTAACCCATTTCCAGCTGAATTTCCTCCCTGAGACGCACGAATCACGCAAATATTCAATCACACCCGAAGAACTATGCAATTAATTTTATAGTATCAGACATCTGAATAAATCTCAATTCCTCGAGTATTTCCTACTTCATGAATAACTGTTGATGACTTTTCTGAAAATTTCTGCTAAATTTAATTCCAGGACGTAGGGAGCAGATTTTTAACCAGCACTTCATTGAAGCGGTTAAACTCATTTTCCGCACTGGGACGCAGGAATTCCGGAAATAAAAAACCAAACGCGAAGCTCTTAATAACGGACTACGTAGTTCACTATTCTGCATCTGATATTTCTGCTGACATAGTTGAGTCATGATATAATGGAAGGAATGAAGGGGATGATTCGAAGTAGCATAAACGGTGTCGCACAGCAGTTTATTCAGAAATTCACAGCATCATCAGATTCAAACTTGAAAATATGTTCGATTTAACATTCGAGGCAGCTTCATGCTTTACGGGATCTTACATTTATCAAGCTACTGTATAATTCAATATTTAAGCCATGGATATACATCATTTAAAAACTTCGGCACTTTCTCATGTCTTTTCTTTAATAATCAACTTCATTTACTCAGTTAACTGGGCAATATCACCTTGTCAAAATAAAATATTCCGAAAACGCGCAAAATTTATATTCGAAGTGTCTTAAATGATCTTACGCAAACTCTTATTTTTCAAAGCTTCCGGCGACCAACAGCTGAGTTCGATACCGTTCGGAAGAAAGAGAAAGGAGACTGGAAGGAGCTGACCATAGACGAAAAAAAGAAACTCTACCGTTACTCCTACTGTCAAACGTTTGCTGAAGTTCGCGCTCCAACTGGGGATTGGAAGAGCATCATTGGAACAGGCTTGCTTTTGTCCTCCTTGGGGATATGGCTCTGTATCTTCATGAAGGTGTTCGTTTACGACGATTTGCCAGAGTCAACTAAGCCAGAGGCCAAAGCCTTACAACTGAGGAAGGCACTAGACTTGCAAATTGCTGACGTAGTCACCGGCGTGGGGTCGAAGTGGGATTACGAAAATGATCGCTGGAAATAAGATCTGCGAGTTCCACGCTTATGATTATTTTCTTTTATGTTCCGACGAACAGGGATTGATAGCCCTGAATTTTTCTCTCTTTGGTCGTCCGTTTCAAAAATGAATTAAAAAAAAGGCCTCTAGATATAGACCTATTTTGATTCAAATGTCAGAAAAGGAGGCATTTTAAAAAACGCGAAAATCGTCGAAAACGAAAAACCGCTGAAATGATTTCCGGCAGCTTACTTTTTCTTGTACGGGTACGCCCTCGCACGATATTTGGCGACAAATGCGGCAACGTCAAATTTGCCTTTGCAGCCCTTGTAATTCATGTAACGGATCTTGCCGAACACCTTCCGCTCAGCCCAGCCTTGGTCGTGGATCCCGCAAATAGACCACATGCAACCTGATAACGTTCATTAACTATTAATTATACGAAGTCAACAGCGAGGACCTCAAAGGAATTTCCCAAGATGTTGTCAAAGGCAGCGTCCAAAAAATGCAACAATCAATCAAATCGTGAGAAAGGGATCGCCAGAACACAGGTATGTTTTCACGGACTTCCACCAAAACACCGCAGACCGGAAATCAACCGAGAACTTCCGCTTCGCAACTGCCCAACATAACTGGTTCAGCCGAAGGAGTGCAAGGACACACCACTTAAAAATGTCAATTCATTCTTACCAACATATCCATTCGGGTCCCTGCCATCCAAATTGTATCGGTCGTTCAGATAAATCGCAAACTCGAGCGCTTGTTCCGGTGACTCCGTCCATTCGAGGATTTTCTTCGCCCAATACATCCGAAGAAAGCCGTGCATTTTCCCTTCTTGCTTGAGTTGAATCTAGAATACGCGGACAGTAATTCAAGTACCATTCCTCGACGTTATCCTGATTAATTTCAATACACTGCCATAATGAAAAGCAGGGAGATTCTACCTAAAAATTATTTCAACGGTACAATTAAAACGTATTGATGCTTACCTGCGCAGCATTCCAGAGGTCGTCATGGGTCTTGGCATCATCAAACTCTTCCTTAGTATACAAGAACTCCCTCACGTCTTTTCTATTAGGAAACACAAAATGTGAACTACAGGGATTGAATCAAACTAGGGAAGCGGCAAACCTGTGCGCTTCGAGAGTGAGTCTCGCCCAATCATAGGCACCAGCAATGCGATCGTACTTCTGATTGTAGAAGCAAAAGTTATCTGCCAATTCTCGTCGAACAACAGCTTCTTCGACAAATCCTTCCACAGCTTTCGGGAACGACTTCCCGTGTCTTTTGACTTCTAAAACCGCTCGCTGAACGGAGATTTGACCTATTTGCAACAATCAATGAACGTTCTGAATACTAAATGCTGAACAAAATTCTTTGTGTCTCTTCATCCTTTTCGAACATCAATCGGTAGGATATCTGTAATACCGTATGCGAATTGAACAGTGGAATGTGCATCTTGTCAAGACATGTAATGTAGTGTACTTTTGAAAATCGTAGACTCACCGAAGTGAAACCAGGGAGACAAGTTGCTAAGTGCTTTTACATTCGGATCGTTCCTCTTATCCGCATAGTACTTCAGTCTCTTCAAAATAAAGCTTTCGAGTTGCTTCAGTCCCGCTTGTGTGCCTGGAGCAGCCCATTCCACGTCTTCAACGCTGCGATCGACCTCCAGATTATTCTCCACATTTTCCCAATCGATGGCCTGACATTAGAACAGAGGAAGTACTGTAACACGAATGATCCATCAACTCACCAAGAAACAAAAGCCGATCTAAAAAATTTTTTTTTTTTAGAAATGCTTGTTTCCGCACGCATCAATCCCTAGAACTATAGAAAGGACTAAGATTTCAATGGACGGCATTTCGAACGACTTCGTTCCAAGGTAAAAAAAAAAAAAAAAACCTGAAGAATGAGGTTGAAAATATTACGCCTAGCCTCGTACCATTTGAAATAAATGTATGTACAGTACAAAAATTAATGTTTTCCATTCCTTTTTCTCCCCTCACAACTGAAGAATAGGTCAGATACCTAAATCGATATTTGCGTTCTTGATCATTAAGAACATTGTACTGTACTTGCGATCTCCTAGATGAACCACTCATCGGATACTACGGCATACTTCATAGAATGAGTAACATTATTCACGAGCATCAGACTAACCTCAGGTTTTACGACAGGAGGATATGGATGCTTCTGGATGGGCGGGAATTCCGTTAGGTACGAATCCAGATTTCGGTGGATCTTCGGGCGAATTGTACGAGCGGCGTATTCTTGTTTTTCCGAAGCAATCCACACTGGTACAACATTGTGAGCATCGACGCGAACGACACTCACGTCGCGTGGCACATTATTTTTCACATCATCAACCCACTTCAAGGGGACACGTAACGGCGCAAAATCGGTAACAACAACACCGATCTTGTTTGATTTCACGAAATTAACTAAAACTTCATTCGCTTGACCAGGCAGCAAATGGAACGGAATTTCCAGCTCCCGGCATTCTTTCTCAACTTCCTGAAGACCTGATATAAAATTCACACTCCACATTCAGAGAATATGAAAGCATCAAACAAACCTTTCAGCATGAAGCGGAAATGGCGGATGGTTGCATCCAAGAATTTCGGGACGAGGCAAAAGCAGACGTGAAGAGGTAACTTGTGTTTAAGCGCCAACTTCTGAGCGAACAGCATTGCCCAGTTATCTACGCAACAAATAAACGTTAATGTTACAGAACTTTGCAATGCATAACATTTCCTAATTAATCAAACCTTGCACGCGTTGATCTCTCGACATCCAGTAAACGATACCCTTGGCCCATTCTGGCACCTCAGTTGCTTTGGTCAAAATCTTGACTCTTCCCTTGTTAAATTTGAAGTCCAACACCGATTTGCCAACCTTATTTTCGATCAAATCAAAAATTAAAAAGTCGGCAACAAAAAGCGGTATGCACTCACTTTTCGGCGACTTTCGCTTATTTCCTGTATCAGGAAACCACCTGGCCGTGATTCCCCAAGCTTCAGCTTCTTCGCCGGGGGAGAAGAGCCACGCGACATTTCACTTTTTTCAACGCTTAGCTAACTATGAATAAATTTATACTGAACTAAATAAAGAAGCAGTTCAGAAATACAGTACTCAGGATTCCCCATCAAGTCTCCGTATTCATTGATGATTTATACGAACTCAGTCTTATGAAAATACACGAGGTCTAATAAGTATCGCAGAATGGCATCAAACTGAAGGCTGCAAATTTTGAGAATGCTTGAAACATGGGAAAAGCACAAGTATAAAATCTCGTCTAAAATTTCGAAACGAACCCGATCAGCCCGTAAAAAAGGAAATATTGCGGGATGTTTCAGAGTAAAATAAATTATAATTATGACGTCCGCCTAACTACATTGAAGTATTATTATAATGGATCACGAAGCTGAATACTTGGACATAATGAAGTAGAGGATTACATTACGTAATCACAAAATCTTCTCAACACAATATTTTTATGATCATATAGAAATAAATTTGGACAGAATGTTAATGTCGTTCGAGTAAATATCAGAAGTACTCGCAAAACAAAAAATAAACAATGCCGGTTAATGCAACAAAGAACGTTCAATTGCTGTCATCATCATCGTCAGAATTCCAATCTTTTAAACGAACGGAAGATTTTCGTTCGCCGCTCAAGACCTTCCATTTCTTCGGGGAAGTTTCATCCTCCGATGAAATCTCCTCCTTCTTGACCTGTTACGGAAAGGACGCTCACATAAACGCAAATCAGAACCATACGAAGTGATGACTCAAGAGATGTACCTTCTGGCGATTCAGCATTTCCATGAACATTCCTTGTCCACATTCCGCCAATTTTTTATCACGTCGACTTTCCAGCAGAGAACTATTCACTTCTTTCCGAGTTCGTTTCTGATGTTGTTCCACGGCATTAAAAAGCTGCACTACTCCTCTGAGAAAACAAAATCGTTTTAATTTCGATTCATTAAAAAGACAGTCGGTGACACGAACTTCGTAGCTATCTTTACATAGCGCCGTTCCCTGTCGCGATCAAGGGGTGAAGGTTTCACTCGATTCATATCGTTCCAACGATTTTTCTGCAAAAAATACGGGATGTTGGATATTCAGTAGTCGTGATCATCGAGAGAGAGAGCTTGAAATACTCACCGACAGTTTAGTTTTGTCCTCATCATCCTTAGATTTAGCGTCAACATTAAGAGAGTCTTCTTCCTTCAGCTGATGATGCTTTTTCGGTTTCTTGGATAATATCGGGTCCTGCTTTTTAACTTCTACACTGAGAATCTTCTGCATCGCATCCGCCCAAGCTGGATTCCCCCCACGCAGAGAAGCATCATTGTCCTCCACAACGAGTGGATCTGTTTCACCACGAGTCATAACACCTGAGAAAAAACACGTTCTTCACGATTCGTGCACAACAAAAACATTGTGCTGTTGCAGTACGTCAATCCTCCCGGGCTTAAATACAGTATATGTCTTGCTCGTGAAATCCGGAAGCTTCGATGTACAGTAAATCTTAGTTGTGGTCGGGATAATCGAGATTTTCGCACGATGAATGGCAAGAAAAGATATGAAGCAAAATTATCCCCACTTGATAATGCAAAGGTTTGGGTTCACTCCATTTCGGTTTGACAAAGGAGTCCGAACTTTCGGAAAAACGTCTCGTTGGAATGCTAGTTTTCTTCGACTTGAACAGAGCTGTGCATATTCACTCACACCAAAAATGAACCCCATTCAAAAAACATTTATGGATAATTACCCGGAAGTCACAAAATCTCTCATCTTGAAATACAGCCATGCACAGGAGATGAGCGACTCTCCCGGCGTTCTGTAAAAACTTTGGGAAACAGGCCTTTCAAAGCTGGAAACTGTTCTGACCTTTTCACGCCACACAGGTTCTAGAAGAAACCTATGGGGATGATCCAGTAACACGAATGGATGCTCAAGATGACGTACTACCCCAGCAACAACAAAAAAGCAAGATTCAAGCACATAAAAAATGACGGACTACGTGAATCTTACAAGGTAAATTCGGACATACTTCGAGTAATAATCCACACCATTGTCGTCTATTATCATCTCATCCTCGAAAGAAATGTACGAAAATATATAAACGTATCAAAGTAACATACAAGTATACAACTCTCATGCACGTCATGTCACGCGACAAGTTCTGCAGTTCAGAAGGAAGTGGAACAGCGAGAACATGTCACACGAACGCGTCAGGTTTCTTGTACAAACTTGAAAAATAAGAACACACTTCGGTCGCTAATGTAATATCATGTTTGAACAACGTGACCCGTTTGGCGTGCATCGCCATCATGTACGCGATTTGAAAGTGCTGTACCATAAAAGCCTCACACGAGGCTTGCAGGGCTTCTAAAGCATTTTTTTTCCACCGGTAATTACTTTCCGGGGAGATTTCGTTTGCTACATCGCGAACTACTCTGCAGAAAGGAAGCAGTGGGATCATGGGCCGATCAGACTTCTGCAGAGCTGCGATTTCTCGAAGTAATTTGACTCCCGGCCTTTTCAACGGCTTCGATTTCCTCCGACTCTATGCAGGAAAAACTTTTGGATAAGAATTTTGAGGAATTGAATGATATGTGAACTCACCTGACTTCTCGATGCCTCGGTGTTCTCAGGTCTACGACGCTGAGGAGAGCGGTTCACGTCTCTTTCTTGAGGTGAGGGATGTTCTTCTAAGAATCGACTTTGCGAGGTCGTAAGTCTTCTAGCGTTACGTTGAAAGGGAGTACTGCTAGAAATCGGCTGAAAAGTCGTCCGTTTATCAGAGGATGCCGGTCGTCGTGCCATGCTTCATACACATTCAGAAGTCAAACGCAAGATAGTCTTGTGCGACACTGTTGCACAAGAGCGATCTACAAGTTTCAAGGATTTGATCAATATTAAGGCATAAATCGGAGCAACAACGAAGTCGTTCACGATAAAGGAACACGTGCACAAAATCTAAAAAAAAATGGCACTTGCATGCTAAAATCGTGACACAATCCATAACAATTGCAAAACGACATTACAGCACTGTAATGGAGACTCATAACTAGGTCAACCTAGAGCGAATCTGGTGTTACATCAAGAGAATCTCCGCGAATTTGGCACAATTTGACACCAGAATCGACATCCGCGGTGTTCTTTTGCGTGGTGTCAGCACTTGCGCGGTCTTTCACTCTTCAGATTTCCGCAAGAAGTGATTTCCGCAGCATTAGGTTAGGTTAGGTCACTTAGTAGGTTAGGTTACGTCGGGCTAGGTTACATTCATTGAAAATATCCTCATGATGCACACCTAGGTCGGTTGTCTTTGCTGCATCAATGACTAGTGCATTCGCTTAAGCGCGCGCGACGCTCACATTGCCTGTAGTTGTGGGTCAGTATCGAAGTGCCCCCAAAACCGCTGCAGAAGTCACTTCTTCCAGAATCCCACAGAATAGACGACCGCGGAAATACAATACCTCCACTCAGAAGACCACTGCGGATTAGGAATAGAACCCTAAGTGTGTTGTACTATACTTCTACTACAGCAAGTGTCCACCCTTACCCCAACTGCGATACCTAGCGGCGACAATAGTTACTGTTCAATTGACCCACCCACGCGATCGCTATCTTCCCTAGAATCTATGGAGGGTCATCAGACGAGATGGCTCGCGAGACATTGGGAAGCTACTCTGACTTGAATTGTTGACTTGTGATCACCTACTCTTTTATAGTGTGATCTGACTCTTCTCCTTGACAACCATCTGGTGCTGTGAAGAATATATGTTGTGTTATTAGATGCATGTGTCGAAGTCCTTGACTGACATCAAAACCAAATGCATGATCGCAGCGCAATTCCATTACTTACAGGTATTATCCCGCGCGAATCTGCTGGTTACGTTGGGCGAGAGCCTTCATATGAAGTGGGTGTGTTGTGTGTAGAGCTAGGTACCATCTCTACCGTGTCACGACTTCAGAAAAATAAAGCATGATACTGCACAATATGCTTCACATGCAGGGTTTTATTATATTTATGACATTTTCCAACGAATCAACTATACAGTCTGGACACAAAGACAATATAATATCACTCCAAAAAAACATCATTCATGAAGCGTCAATTAAACTGGATCAAGCGAGTCCACACAATCTCTCAAACCTGCTCTGCATCAAAAGACAAAAATTTAATTCATAGAACCATCCATCCCTATACGAACCATATTTTGGCTACATCACAATGTTAAGGCAGCTTGGACGACTTCTTCCAGCGAAAAGATTTTCGAATTGAATTGTAGATGCTATTGCGTTTTCGCAAAGACCCAGTGCGAGAATCGTCCACCTCTAAACTGCTACGATTTTTGTTTTCTGCTGTACCCATGGCCTTTGAATTGTTCAGCTTGTCTGATGAACCCTCTCGGATTGTGGACAGCCTCGTGGATGTTTTTTCCGCACTAACTAATCCATCTACATCATCCTGCTGTGGCTTTATTCTAGATGACAATGAATCAGATCCTGCTGACCCCTGCATGGCATGGCGCAGTACTTGCTTCAACTCAAAGGCATTTGGCCTCTCTGAAGGATTGATAGAGAATCCAGAAATCATTATTCCTTTGAAAGCTTGAGGCAAATTTTGGATGACATCCGCTGCTGATGGAGGCTCCTTACTGGTCTTCGCAAGGATCAAGTCTCCCCAAGTCTTACAGCTGAAAAACGGATCTTTTCCAGATCCCAAAATTTGTAACACAATTACAGTCAAACTGTAAATATCGGCAGACTTGGTAAACGTTGGCTGGCGCTGACAAAGAATTTCCAAGGCTTTATACTTTGAGAAATGTATATCTCCCTCTTTGCCATCCAACAAATGCTTCATGGTCTGCAAATAAAATAAGGACCTTACATCACTATTTGAATTATGATGCATATATATAAGTGCTGTAATGTATATGCATCAACTATATCAGTGTTCCCCAACCTTTTTTGCTCACGGACCTGCGAATTTGATTAAAATATTTTGTGGACTGGCAAATTGTCATGAAATTTTCTGCGGACCAGCAAGGTTCCATACAATTTTTGAAGACCAGGGAAAATTTTCAAATACCTGCTGCCATAAAGTCCTCAAACTTGTATTGCAAAAATTAATTGAAGAACCAATGAGCAGCTATGTATAAGAATTTCTTAAAAAAAAGAATCAAAAGCTGGGCTTCAAGAAAGGGTTCTCAGATTTAAAGCTCAAAATAATATATTTCAGACGGGAGAACATATGTCTGAAGTGTGACGTTTGATAAGAAGAAAAGCCAACTTTTATCGTTTCTCACGTAATTTTAACTGCCATTTTCCTCAAAATTTCGGATAAATATCAATAAAAGGCTTCATTAATAAGTTCTATAACTGTATCACGGTGAAGAAATTTGCCCGCGGACCGGCAGAAAACTTCTGCGGACCGGCGAAAGTCCGCGGACCACGGGTTGGAGAAACACTGAGCTAAACGACATACCTTTGCCGAGCAAAATCCCGTGATTTTTGGAATTCTATCCAGTCCAAAGCACATTATTTTTTCGGGCAGTAAGTTGCAGTGTACAATCCGACTGTGGTGCACGTATTCTATAGCACTTGTAAGATTATTGATGAACTGGTAGCCCTTTTTCCCGGCATTTTCAAGCATGAGTTCTTCCATAATCTCTTTGCGTAAGGGCTCTCCGGGATAATATCCAATTGTCCGCCCAGGATTCATCTTTCTTTGATCAAATCCCAATCCCAGAACCTGCGAATTAACCATGGCTATGAATAAAAAAGTCAAATTTTGACCATTAGCAGCAGAATAAAAACGGAAATCTCAGTAAATTATATCGGACATCATATTTTGAATTTGTGAATGCATATAATGTATGCTCTGTGTGCATCAAATTGTATCAAACATCTTCATGGCTCAAATAAAACGTTGAATACGGTATTAAATATATTACTGCATATCTCAATAATTATGAACCCTCGCGGAAGATGAAGGACAAGGATCATCAAGTATCCTGCATATACGCAGTACAGTATTTATAAATATACTTTATTGGGTACGTCTCATAATATCGCCCATAATAGTAGTATAGGTACTAAAATGGTCTCCGGCACGTAAGAATAATTTTTACTAAAAAAAGACTTTTCAGTTTACGAAGATTTTTTGAAGTCTCTTTTCACGTCCGAAAGATCAAGATCCTCATCGAAGCTATATTTATAAAAAGGGCTTTATTTAAAAGGGTATTCCATTTCAATGCTGAAATGTATGAAAACAAATAAAGTTTTGTACTTCATGAATATTACCCTTTCTTGCTGAACTTCAAAATTCCTGAGGTAGGTATATGAATGAAAGAACGTGAAAAAATTGTCCGCTAGCAAATAATCCCGCCGTTTTCTGTATATATTACAAATGGCCACGACTCGACAGGACAATACAGCATAATGTTTTTGATTTACTCTTCCTAAACAGCAATACTGTGTTTTATTATCATCACTGTCCCTGGGTTATTAAATGAACTCCTGCTAAATTGGCGTGAAAGCTTCAAATTTACCTTCATCAAGTGACGATGACTCAGGTCACTGGGAAGAACTGCTGCAGAACCAGGCGACTTTTTGGAAATAGCAGTAGAAGGCTTGGTTCCGGGGTGGGATAATTGAACGGCCACTGCTCTTCTTCCCAACACTCCACAATAAATGCTTCCAAAATGACCATCGTATACGGAATCCCGAGTTTGGATTTCCTCATTATCGTCCACTTTCGGCAATTTCTTCTGCCACAGCTTCTTTCCTCTGAAACTCATGGCTACAATTGTGGGAAAATGTGACATGAATTCGTGCATATACAGTCGTATAACGATTCTCTCGGTTCGTATCTGCTGCATGGTAGCATTCAGACGCAAGATAAGGTCTGCAAAAATACCTTTTGACTGATAAGCAGCGGACTGATCACAACACTCGAAGCGGAGAATGAGACGTGGAAGGTCACTACAGTATAAGAACATGCTGCATAGTAATCCTGTACGATATCTTTATTATGCTTCAGTTTGTGTCAATTTGATACTTATTTTGTTTTTTTTAGTAGCATACTTCTGATCAACGATAGCAAATTGGCGCACTAGAAAAAAAAATATCCAGCGAATGTCACAGGTTAAATGAGCCGTTCATCACATGCTGTTTTCCCGTTTCCTTTATTGACTTACTATGAGCAGTCGTTTCAATCCCCCATGGAAGCAGATGATGACCTGGTAACATCTTTTTTTATTCATAAGATTGATATTTTATGGCTCTTTGGTACTGTTTTGGATCCAATGGCGTTTTTGAACAATATGACGGAAAAAAACTATTCTGAAAGCGGCTGAATTAAGCATTCATTTCGGTTTCCAACTTATCTTTTTCCCCTGAATAATACAGTTGTACTATATATTATTATACAAAAAAAAAACCAGAAAAAATTCATTGCAGAGAGAATTTTGTGGTAGAAAATCCCTATCACATGAGGAGAGGGAATCGTGGGGCAGACATCTTTGTAGAAAATATTGCGGTATATTGGAGGGTCCACGTGTAATACAGTATTTTCACCATAAAGTACTGTATTGTAAAATATAAAGAGCTGTCTCAATTCTACTTGGTGTCGGCATGTTTTATAGAGAAGTTGAGAGGGTGCAAAATTGATTATTTTTAAGCGTCTTTTTAGTGGCTTTTGCCGAGTTCGACAGAATTTTAAAACACATTTTCTGTTTTCTTTTGCATGATGCGAAATGAACACACCGTATATGCGTTGGCAGGATCTTCTTTTCACACTGATATTTGTTCACATT